TTTACTCTCGATTTGAAATAAGATGTGAATGAAATGTTCGTTCCATGCCAGAAAGTAGGTGTTCTGTGAAGCCAAGTTTATCGATTTATCGTTTGTTTATGCTAGCGTGAAAATAAAAGTGATTAGTTTGTTTAATTTTTGTTTAGATTTCAAATTTAGGTTGATTTGTAGTTTCAAAAGTCAAATTTAAAAAGTATAAACTTCTAAATTGTCATTGTCATTTTATCACGTGACCAATAAAGTCTAGAGCGTTTGTTTATTACATCTACATTCAAATCTAATCCTAATCCTAATCACGTGATAAAAAATTCACATCTCAGATGCATCTGATGTGGATATTTAAACGCAGCAATGAATATGTTGTTAGATGTTTATAGGTTTATAGGTTTGTTCCAACAAGCTCGAAAACGATAATATTTCGGTACAAATCATGCGCTGTATACAATTTTTATGTATCAGTAGTGTTTAGCGAGTATAAAGTTGACAGATTGACAAATGACATGCCACCACGAGGAAGCAAAGGCGTCTTTTCTATATGATGTGTCTCAAATTTTTGCTTCTTTTTATCTGATTTAAGTTTGAGATATAAATCCTTTAAAATGTCCTTAATTAAACCTATTTCGAATAATAATATTTTTAAATAAAATTAACTAGAAAAAATATTAATAAAAACACGTTTAAAACTAAAAAAATATTCTAAGAACACAACTGGCCTCTTACACATTTATTCAGTAACCATACATTTTGTTGACTGCAGAATTATATCTTATTAGGATTAAAAAAAAACATACTAATTACAAAACGAGTATAAATACCCTTTTTGAATATTTACTCCAGTTTAATGCTTAATCACAATACCAATACAAATAGTTATAATAAGGGAGTATAAATAGACCCTTACTATTCACGATATATTTTAGGATTTAGAGACGAATAAAAGGCAGAGAGTATGGCAGAAAGGAGTAAATTTAATCTAAAAACAGTGGAATTTGTGCAATTTTTTTATTATTGTGCCAAAAATTTGAATTTTATCTCCACTTTAATTATTTTTCAATGCCACCTCCTTCAACTCCTTCTGTGTGGGTGAAGGGAGATTTTTTAATACGATTTTTATACAAATGAGAATACCAAGTTTGGCACCTAGATTCTGACCCTTTTTCAAAATTTTATGTGCCCTGTGAAGGGGTTAAGGGCCTTTAAAATATTAAAAAAAATCCTATCCCAAAAACGAAAAATGATATCGACTTAAAATTTTTAGCAAAAATCAAAATCTATAAGGGGAAGAAGCCCTTTGATTTTGAAAAAAAATCTGATTAAAAATGGGGGGTTTAAGAAGGGTTGAAATTAAAAAAAAATCATAAATCAAAAACAAAGGGCGATATTAACAAATTTTTAGTACAAATCAAGCTCTATAAGGAGATGAAGCTTCTTGATTCTAAAATAAACAAATCTGATGTGTCCAACACATGACTTTCCTATCTAGTTATTATAGGCTTTTTCCGGTTATTTTGTACAACCTATTGCAGCATATCTATAAATGTTTAGAGGATAAACTAAATATATACATTGTCCACATACATCTACCTCGAAACATTTTTCTATAGATATTCATTGAAAACGAAAATACTGAAACATTTTAATTTAGCACTTTTCCATTACGGTCCATTTTAGAAAAATCATGTATAAACAAAAATCGATATCGCAAACAGCTTTTAGTTCAACAATTTTCATAAAAATCAGAATTTTGCACATTTTGTCAAATTTCTCGAATACGGACCATTTCAGAAAATTTTGACATAAAGCAAAAATTATAGATAATAATATTAGAAGTAACTTTTATTTGAACAATTTTCTTCTCCAAACATAAATAACAGATATATTCCATAAAATATAAAAACGGCCTCCCATAAAGTACCCCCCCAGATGTTCCGACTTTGTCCAAAATCTAATCATTTCATGTCAGGCCGAAATAAACCTTAAGTTTAAAATTTAATGTTTTTTACTTTATCCGTTTTTGAGTTTTCTTCAAAATTCGAAATTTACACATTTTCTCAAATATCTCGAATACGGTCCATTTTAAAAAAATTATGTATATAATAAAAATTATAGAGAATTATATTACAAACAACTTTTATTTGAACAATTTTTATAAAATTTATTTTTTTTACATTTTGTCAAATTTCTCGAATACGGACCGTTTTAGGAAAATTTTGTATATAATAAAAATTATAGATAATTATATTAGAAGTAATTTTTATTTAAAGAATTTTCTTCTCCAAACGTAAATAACAGATATATTCCATAAAATATAAAAATGACCACCTATAAAGTACCCCCCCAGATTTTCCGACTCTGCCCAAAATCTAATCAGTTCATTAGACGCTGGAATAAAGCTTCTTTAAAATTTGGTGTTTTTCTGTGTATCGGTTCATGAGTTATACAGACACACAGACACACACACCACACACACACCACACACACACCACACACACACCACACACACACACCACACACACACACCACACACACACCACACACACCACACACACACCACACACACACCACACACACACCACACACACACCACACACACACCACACACACACACCACACACACACCACACACATACCACACACACACCACACACACACCACACACACACACACACCACACACACACACCACACACACACACCACACACACACCACACACACACCACACACACACACACCACACACACACCACACACACACACCACACACCACACACACACACACCACACACACCACACACACCACACACACACCACACACACACCACACACACACACACCACACACACACCACACACACACACACACCACACACACACACACACCACACACACACACACACACACACACACTACACACACACACACCACACACACACACCACACACACACCACACACACACCACACACACACCACACACACACCACACACACACCACACACACACCACACACACACCACACACACACCACACACACACCACACAAGCATACCCAGACAACACACCAAATCCCAGAGATATCCGCAGAATATCTTTTGTGGATATCCAATATATCCACAGGATATTAGAAATATTCCGTGGATCTAATATGGATATCCAAATGTCCGTCTATATCCAGGATATAGAAGATATCCTAATGGATATTCAGCAAAATATCTAATGAGTATCTTCCAGAAAATACAAGAAATCGCAGAGATATCCACAGAATATATTTTGTGGATATTCAATATATCCAATATGGATATCCAACCAAATGTCCGTCTATATCCCAGGATATAGAAGATATTCGGATATTCAGCAAAACATTTTATGGGTATCTTTAGTAGAGGTTCATAAGTAACCAATGATTATTGAATAACGTCGAAAGAAAATAGCAGAGATAAAAAATATTTTCAACACTCAAAATATTTTCAACACTCTGCCTTTGATTTTGCCCACTAAGTAGAAAGTTATCCTTTTAGGACTCTTCAGCAATAAATGAAAATTCTCGACTCCAGTCTCTAATATAGTGATTAGGACACACATTTCGATCGAACTCAATTACGGCGGGTCGAGCATGAGTAGATGCGATAGTGGTATCGCCATCTATACTTAGTAAGCAGAATCAAATAACATCTAGTGGATATCAACGATGGTTTGCGTTCGCGCCTAGACTTTGATATATTTAGTGGATGTTCATGGGATATTGAATACACCTTAAAAAAATTAATTTTAAATATCTGGACGGTACTATTAGCCACAATGGCGAGCACAATGGCGTAATTTTTTAATAATTTGCTATATAATTACTATTATTTATGGACATTTGCATGTCTATAAATTAAATTTCATGGATATAAAATAGATATCTACCATGGACTGGACATTCACTGGATATTGGGATGTTCAGTAGATATCCAAAGGATTTAGTGTGCTGTCTGGGTATGTATGTAGGTATTTTTGTGTCATCGGCATCACCTGCTATGGTTATTAGCCTCGTGTTCTGTGGAGGATTTGTTACCGTTTCCTAGCGCCACTTTAGGAACAGCACGGTTAATTAGAATTCAACACTGAATGGTCGAGTGGTGAATCCTACTTATGCATTAGAATAAACATGAATTCATAAATTAAATATAAATCCTGTACCGGCGTTTTTGAGACCCTTTGATCTCAAAGTCATGACTCTAACCACTAAGCCAACCCACTCCCAGCAGGGTTATTCTACTAAATTTATAGCCCGGCTACAAGTTTATAGCCCGGCTACAAGTTGGATTTTGAAGTAGGAATATATAAAGTTCAAGCCAAAATCCAACTTGTAGCCGGGCTATAAATTTAGTAGAATAACCCTGCTGGTATCGCTATTGTAAATAAAAACCAAAATTCCATATCTTGTACAAATGAATAGTAATAACAATAATTTTACGGGAAATGGAAATATGGGTGCTGGGTGAGTAAAACAGCGTCAATAGTTATAATATTATAAAATATTGTTAGTTAATTTAACAATAAATAGGTATAAGAGGTTAAGAGTAGCACTTCTGAAATATTTTTATTTAAAATAAAATAATTGTGTTGTAATTATTAATTTGCACAAGATATGGAACTAAGATTTTTGTTTACAAGTATGTATGCTTAGTTTTTTCATAAGAGAAAAGATGTCAAACTAGATAATGATCAAACTATCAAAATTATTAGGAAATACCCTGTATAAGAATATAAAAACACATGTCTTTATTTATTTATTTAAATACTTATACCTACCTACTACAAAATCTGCTGTAAACTATTTAAAATTCTAATGTTTCATTAAAAGAAACAGAGATTTATCTTGTTTGTAGGTAGGTATAAATAAAAAATTACTTTTGTTGAACATAAAATGTAACTTTAATTATTATAATCTCTCTTTTTTTGATAACAAATTCCAAACAACCTACTTAAATCCATAAACATTACATAAAATCAACTTACTTTGATAACCATACACGAAATCACACAATGTAATAATATTATTTCATACGTAAACTTTGGGAATTCCTAAAATTACAATGCAAATAACCCACTAAAAAACTAATTATTTGTTACGCACACTGCCAGATGGTTTGGCATCAACTTTGATACACCCTAATTGCTAATCACTTTCCATCGTCATTATTCTATTTGTTAAATTTTGAACAAAATATGAATAAACAGTAAACGTTTTAACCACATGCCCTCTTTGTTATGAACTGGCTACGGCCGCTACGGGGCAACCTCGCTACTGTCATTCGGCACAGCTGATGAGCTGATTCACGTTTATTGATAAATTTCAAGTCAAGGCTCGAACGACCAAAAGCTTGGCTCGTATATTCTGCGCCGAATCCGACAACGTTGCGTTCTAATCAGCGGTGATTTCAGCTATTTTTCATATTTTGCTAATGATAAGAGATTAATTCTGGAAACAAACGAGGTTATTTGTTTAAACAATAGTATTAGTAAGTGTACAGTGTATTAATCATTTAATTTTACTAGTAAACTTTTGACCTTTTGCGTCGATTTTGTAAGCGGCGTTGCCAATTTTTTAGTTTAGCTTCGTATTGCATGAAAAATAGGTAAATCGGTATGTAGGAAGCGAAAATAGATACAATAGCGTAAATATGTATTATTACTGATGCCAGGTGTAAACTTCACAAATAATTAAATGTTTATTTTACGTATGAAGTTTATTAATATTAAAATATTGTTACAAAATTAATAATAATTATTAAAACAAATGGAATAACACAGTCTTAAGAGTTATTGCTCCAATGACAATAGCAGGAAATTTGTATTAAAAATAGGCATTCTGTTTTAATCCTAGAAGACACAGTTTTAAAGATAATACCATATGGGCGAAGAGAATAAGTGGCACTAGCCCTGGGTTTTCATACTTTTTTGAAAAAATAGTCCGTTTTGTCTACAAAAAATTATAAAGTTTATTAATTTTGTTTAAAAAAGGACAACTTTTAATAGAGAATTAATATTATCAAACATGCATTATTTTTCGAACGATTAATGTCAACTTGTAGTAAATCTTTTTCTTAATAAGATCAAAAAATAATTTTTAAAATTGGACTTAATATAAAGCCGTAATCATTAAAATAGCATAGTAATTTCGGATATAAAAATTATTGAAAAATATGATTACGATATCCCCTCTCAAGACGTTCCGTGTTCGTACCGAAGGATGGGTGCTTCCTCGCCTACCTAGTATTGAAATCTGGCCAGATACGGAATAAGGGTACATATAGGATCAAACTTAAATTTAGTGTTGCTCGGTTGGTGCGAAGAGGGAAATTTTATTACATGAGATAATTTTGTTTTCAATATAGAATTTGTAATGTTTCAATATATTTAAAACATAGTTTGATTAGAAAAAAATTAGGTAGAAGAATTATATTGGTATAGTAGGTATATATTGTATTTTCTAAAATAATTCATTTTGCAAAGAATATCAACTAAGCTACTAATATAATAAAATCTATAAATCAGCCTTATAAATAATGTATTTAACAAATGTTTCATATTATATTAATAATTTACATGTTTTCTGACTTATCTGTAAATGAAACGTGGAGAAAATAGTTTTACTTACAAGTTTTTCCTGATTTTGTTGCTGTCTGCTGTTGTAGTGATCTGATAATTTGTAGACTGTATAATTGTTTACAGAAAGATATTTGCTTGGATGCCTTCTTTTCAGCATAAAATAAATAAAGCAAGAAGATGACTTAATATTTTATGTTGTACAAATATATAAAATATATTAATTTACACCATTTAACGTATAATAGTATTTTGCAATTTTTACAATACTTACGAATGCCTCTTACTCGTAATTTATGCTATTGGTTTAAGAGAATGAAATTCAGAATTATTTCGGTCTATATATATCGACTGAAACTCAAAAAGATATTCTTATAGAAATAATATTTTAAAAACTAAGGGAACAGAGCCGAAATGTTTTGTTACTATCCGGCTTTGATTGGTCCGAATTTCATGATGGCTGCCGTTGAATGATGTTATCATATTTTGTTGTTGCTAAAAAATAAATACATATTTTCTCTGTTTGATGTCAATGATTTTAAAAAGAGTTTTTGCTTTTAAAATAAGTGAAGGACAAACGCCAAAATTAACGTAATATATTATGAACAGGGGTGGTTTCTCCATTGGTTCATTTGTGCAGTGAACACCCAGTTAAATTTCATAAAAACGCATTATTTTAATATTACATAAATAACAAAAATATAAATTTAATTTTAATATTTTTATTTTTATACGTGTTAATCTATATTTTTTGTACATCATTGTCCTCTGGCTGATCGCGTCTCTGTGTCACAGTATACCTAAATATATTGTGTCTGTGGCGCATTATGATGAGTGAGCCTAACACGAGTGAGACGATATGCCGAATGCATATAGCTAAAAAGAGAAGACAACACGCCAACAGATCCTGCAAACTGTCAAAGAACACATTAATTGACGCGCAGCTCACAAACAATTTTTAGCAAACATCAATCTCTAAAAGGAGAAGAAGCCCTTTCATTATAAAAAAAATCTGATTAAATATGGGGGATTTAAGGGGGGTTGAAATTAAAAAAAAAATCAAAAATAAAAAGCGACATCTACATGAAAGTTTTAGTAAAAATCAAGGTCTATAAGGAGATGAGGCCTATTAATCTGCTTAAAAATGGGGGTTAAGGGGGTCTGTTAAACTGCGAAAAGTATCATTTAATATGCCAGGCATTATATATCTTTATTCTAGTTTGTGTCTGTGTAATATTATGCATTGTGATGGGACTGATCTTTTAAAATAAACATTTAAAACATTTTAGTTCTTATTTTATTTGCCAATAAAAGGTATTTAAAAAATATATTTTTTATTTGACATCTGTGACAAATTGTGAAAATGATTAAACTTATAATAAAAACTAAAAAATGGTAGGTAAAGTTTCATATAAAATTTTTTATACAAAAATCAATGTCAAGCTTTCTACATAACCTGATATATATTTAAAAATAATCTCAAATTATGAAGAAAAGTCAGTTTACTAATTAATAATGTTTATAGATGGTTTTCAACGTATTAAAAACAAAACAAATATCACACTAACTAAAATATTCATTTATTAATAGTTGTAGTACTTGAAAACAGTATGATGTTGATAATAATAACTACACTTAATACAAACTCAAATAATTAAAAAAAAACATCGATATTGGCTCTTGTACAAAGTTTTGATGATATAAAGAAATTATTGGAAAAAGTGAACACCCATTTTAAATTACCATAAGCCGCCACTGATTATGAAGCCTGTACATCAATCACAAATTATAAAATAATTTAACTTTGTTTTTGAGAAGAGCAGGGCATTTGACTAAACAGCTCGATATTATTTTTTACAAAGTAGGCATACAAAATGTATTTAAAATGATCGGTTATTATTTTTTGGTAACTTAATTGGACCCAGTATTATAAATAAATTAGTTACAGAAGACCTGCAAATACTTCTATGTATTATAGCGTTTTAACAGTGCCACCTAGATTAAAATCAAAAATATTAAAGAAAATACTTTTAGAATAAATAGCGGCTTTGTAGAAACATCTTACTATTAATGTCATTTGACTTTTTGGAGGTAATTATTTTTGTTTTTTATTTTTTAATTTTTGAATAGCTTCTAAGATGTAATCAGGTTCTCTTAATGACATTCCCCGATTATGCCTTGGATCTGGCAACATACAGTTTATATAAAACTTTAACTTCTCTCCTCCATATTTTTACACCAGAAATCGTCTCTTTTTATTATATATTTCACTTTAAGTGGATAACTGGGACCTGTCCATACACCAAAAATATATCCTTTTCGTCCTGTAATATGTAATTGGCCTTGCATTTGATAATACCCATTGATGGTGGATATTAATGTCAAAATTATTGGTGTCTTTATTAAAAATAAAAAATGGTATTTTTTTCAATTTAATCGCCTCTTCTACCTGCATTTGATATGCAGCGTATGAACATTTTATTTCAACCACTAATTCATATCCTACAATGCCGCCTGGAATAGCATTAACAAATTTAAAAATTATTATTTTGATTTAAAATGAACTAATTTGCAATATGTTATAGTTGAGATGTGAGTAAAAATGTGAACTGATCGTTACGTACCTAAATATGGATATTTTTTGTCAATAAAAATTCCACAATCTCTAATCACTATATTTTCCTGATCTTGAAGCTGCAAAAGTGCCGTTTTTTCATACTTTTGGCCATGAGAAATAGCAGTATTGACTGGTAGTTGGTAAATAATCCTTTTGACTAAAGGCTCACATAAAGTAGTAATTCGTCTAGTACACACTGCTTTAAAGTGTGAGGACGTAATCATTTTTCTACGAATTTCAAGCCAAACCCTGCTATCCGCCTGTGACATAGTTTGTTCCTAAATTACATTTCTTTTAACGTTAGATGAAGGGAATTCGTTTAAAAATTGAACTTTTTTACTTCATAAATATCTTGATCTAAATCCTTTTTGGTACAATTTTCTTCATAATCTAAATCAGTTTTATTGGTTTTTGCAGAATAACTTTTTTTTATTCCGAATTCCCTGATTTCGAATTATATGATACAATTGCTGCAAAACATCTACTTTGGTAAGAGCGCTCTCTGGAATAATTGATTCTTTTGCCACCTACAAACTTAGCGACTGTCGCATGAAATTGTTCCACAATATTAATATCAATATCATGTAATAGACTTCTGCTGTGATCTGACAAAGCATGTATAATTTGTAGAAGTCTTGTAAAAAATTCAGGTTTAGATCTGAAATTGGTTATTTCGGTTTTGGTTTCATATGTATGCTTCTGACAAAAATAAATATCGCAGTTTTTATGATCACCAAAAACGTGACAACTTGCATTGTCTTGTCTTTCTTTAAAAATAAAACGTTATTAATAGTGCTAAGACTATTTTCTTTTTTTATAAGAAACTGCCTTCGTAACAGATGTTCTTAAACGAAGAATGTTTTGACTAACTAATTTTTTTAGTTTTATTGGAAAATTCACAAATAACTTTCTATTTTAGGCTCAAAATTTTACTAAATACGTTTAAATCTTCAATTCACCGGTATAACTAAATACATTGCCGATCCATTTCTTATGATAGGGGAAATGTGGCTCGACGACCCGTTCTTGGAATTTTGAAGGTAGGGGTATAATAGGAGTATTATGCCGACAAATTAGTTCTTATGAACGGAGCAATAACTCTTAACAAAA